CCACTCCACCAGTGGGGCTCAGTCCTTTCCTGCAGTCCAGTTTACATGCTGCTTCGACCAGTCTCCTCCTTTGCCTCTGTTCCAGCTTATGCATCCCAGTCCTGAGACTGTTGTGTCTGACCAAGTACATAAAGATTTGTGTTCAGTCTGGTTCACAAGGTTTGGGAGCACTGGTTAAGCTGCACCTCCAAGAGGACCTCTCCTTGCTGGTTGCTACCTGCCCTTGTCAGCATCTGACCTTCATCTCAGAGCTCTGGGTATCTGCTTTTGCATGTAAACTCTACCCCAGAAACATCTAATTCTTAAGTTAAGTCTAAATCCTTCCTTCACAAAATCACATAATGATTTGAAAGGGATGTTAAGCTCATCCAGTTCCAACCCCCTGCCATGGGCAGGAACACCTTCCACTAGAACAGGTTGCTCTAAGACCCATCCAATCTGGCTGGACAAATTTAGGTTGGAAAGGCTTCTTGTGCTTTGAGAGTGAGGCCACTGGACCAAGGGAGCACAGATCTTGTTCCCTGGCGCTCTGTGAGGGCTGCTGCCAGCCCAGGGCTGTGCATTAGGCAGCATTTGATGTGGTGGAACTGGAGCTGGTGCAGGTGCAATGTTTGTGCCCAGGTGGACAATAAGACCAAGGGGATCTTGGCTTGTGTCACCAATAGCATGGCCAGCAGGACAAGGACAGTGACTGATCCCTGTACCACTGGTGAGGTCACACCTCAGATCTTGGGGTCGGTTTTGTGCCCCTCATGGGAAAAAATGGAGGTTCAGGTGGAACCTTCTCACTGTCTTCTACTACTCAAAAGGAGGTTGTAGCCAGATTCTCACAGGCAACAAGTGACAGGACAAGAAGAAATGGCCTCAAGTTGCACCAGGGGAAGTTTAGGTTAAGTATTAGAGGAAATTTCTTCCCTGAAAGTCTTGTCCAGCCCTGGCATAGGCTGCCCAGGGCAGTGGTGGAGTCCCCATCCCTGGAGGGACTTAACAGATGTGTAGATGTGGCACATGGGGACATCCTGGTCTAGGGTGATGGCCATTCAGTGTGTCCACTTCCAGCACCCTCAGCACCAACCACCATGCCTTTGGTACTTCAGGCTCCTCTTTCTGGGATTTAGTTCCCTTCAACAGAAAAAAAAGAGTTTATTTCCCACTCACTTCTGGGATATTTGATCCAGCAGAGTCTGCTGCAGGGAAAGGGATGCTCCCCAAGTCCCCTCGGTGTGCTGGAGCACAGGATGGGTCCAAGGCAGTGACCTAGGCAGAATGGGTGCTCACAGGGCCTGGTAAAAGATCTTGAGGTACTCCTGGGTGCAGTGCCATGAGGAGCAGAGAGAAGTGCCCTCAAGGTTCATCCTTGTTGCCTCTACCCAGACCTTGCCTGTACCTATCCTGCCCAGGGGACAAGTGTGCTCAGACCCTCCACTCAGGACAAACTCGGTGCTGGGGTTCTATATTGGAGAGATTACCTTTATACTGGAGAGAATGGCTTTGTACTGATTCAATGGCTTTATACTGGGGAGAACGGCATCCCTATTCATGGCAGGAGGATTGGAAATAAATGGTCTTTATGGTCCCTTTGGACTCAAACCAGTCAGCAATTCTGTGATTCTATGAATGGTTTTATAGTGGGGAAAAGTACTTCAAACTTCTCCCCAGTTTTATACTGGGGAGAGTGGCTTTATGCAGTGGCTGTATTATGTAGGTGGGGATTTGTATCTTCTCCGAGATAACAAGTGATAGATAAGACAAGAGGAAATGGCTTCAAGTTGTGCCAGGGGAGTTTTACGTTGGTTATGGGGAAAATTCCTTCCCTTGAAAGGTTGTCCAGCCCTGGCACAGGCTGCCCAAAGCCATGGTGGAGTCTCCATCCCTGAAAGGGATGGCCATGTAGTTGTGGCACTTGGGGACGTGGGTTAGTGGTGGCCCTGGCTGTGCTGGGGGAATGGTTGGACCCAATGGTTTCAGAGGGCTTTTCATACCTAAAATGTTCTGTGATTCTGTCCTTGTTGAATGGCTTTATAGTGGGAGAATGGCTTTCCCTGACTTTGGTGACTGAAGCTGTGCCAGAGACTTGTGCAAGCACTCAGTTTCCACCTCCACCATATTGTACCTTCTGGACACCAGAGAAGGAAGATGGGAGACATTGAACATTTTGGCATCTTGTCTTTCCGTAACACAGGTCACCACAGGCCACTGCTGCTGCCCAGCTCATTTGCAGGCAGGACCTCTGGAGTGGCATCAGACAGGGGCTGTGTCATGCCAGTTCTTTGTCCCCACACCCACTGCTGGGAACAGCTCAGGACCCAAACACTCAGCCAGAGGCTGCCTGTGGGTATGCCCAGGAGCAGGAGGTTTCACACCATCTGGCTGGGCTGTGAAACAAGGTCCTCAAGAGTCCTTTCCTTGTCTCAGTACTCAGGGCTTTCACAAGCTGTGATCTGTCCACTCTTCAGAGCAGTGTCATTCTCTGGTTGTCCATATGAGATTCCAATGCCACTGTGTGCCCTGTCCTGTCTGTTAGAAGTGTGAACCTTGTTCTGGCTGCAGCAGGCTCAGACCTGCTAGTCTTCTGCCCTGACAGGATGGAGTGACAAGAGCAGGGTCTTGGGGCTGCTGAGGACACAGGGAGCATCACTGGGATGTTTCTCCAGGTTTTGTCTGTGCCCTTTGGCATTCTCCTTTTCCCCCTGCTATCTCTCCCTCCTCCTGCCATCCCCGTCCCTATCCTGACAGCAGTGGGGGACCTAAGTACCAGTATCCACTGCGTCGCCAGCTCTATTGACAGTTATCCAGAATCTGAAGGAATTCAAGACAAATTGTTAAGAGGATGGAGTTAATAAAATTTGAAAAATTGAGGCCTGTCACTCCACTAAACTTTTTTCGATCCCACTGACAGAAACATATTTCCCCAATGAGTGACCTTCTGCAGCTGCTGCAGCGCCACAATGCGGGGCGGGTGCAGCGAGAGAACCCCCACGCTATTTATCAAATATTATCAGCCAGGGCCTTCTAATATGAGCATGGAGGGTGGGAGGAGGCCACGGGCTCATACAGCCTGAGGTGCTGCCCAGGTGTCCATCTCCAGCTACAGACAGCGAGTGGGAGGTGACAAATTGCCTTCTATTAAGTCGTGGAAGGTTGACGTCCCCTTGGATACTGCTGCAGCCTGTGGCACAGGGTGGGAGAGGGCAGGAGAGGAGGTGGGGATGTGGAGTGGGGTCAGCCAGGGCACCGACAGACCAGTGGCCACTTTTACCTTCTATTAGCAAGCCAAGTGATACTGTTATTTATGGCAGCATAATATTTTATTGCTGCCGGTACTCGAGGTTGGAATCGACCAGTTATAGGAGTCGGGTTCTATCAATTATTGCAGCAATTAGTCAAGTCGTCAAAGCCATTAACAGGGGGATTAGGCCAATATTGGAGAGCCATTATTGATAGATCCAGGGCAAAGCCAAACAAACCCTCCATCAGAAATGAAAGCATGCCTAGCCTCGAGTATGTCATCATTTGGAGAAGTCAGGAACATGCCCCACTGGTCACTGCACAGACCCAGGTGGGTTTTGGCGGGGGGGGGGGGGGGGATCATGGGAGCACTGTCTCTTTAATGGATATGGAGCAGCCAGCCCCAGCAGTGTGTAATCTCACCTGTCTTGTCCATGGTCTTTATTTGTGAAGACAAGGCTTGCCATAGAAATTAGTCCATGTCAAATGTTTATGGAGCACATTTTTCATTCTGTAAGCAAATATAGTTCCTTGATGCCAGTGCCTAGGAATGGCTAATCTCTGCAGCTCCGCTCCCGCAGACTCCTCTTACTTCATTCATCTGTTCTGATTGCTGCTTGCCCTTACCGAGCACTCCTGGTGCTTTACGCTGTCTCATGGCGCAGAAGCAGCTGGGTCTGCCTCTGACAAGGTACTTGTCTCACTCCCATGTTTTCAGCAGGGTCACAGAATGATTCAGGCTGGAAGGGACACCAGTGGAGTCACCTGGACCAACTCCCCTGCTCAGGCAGGAGCACATTACACAGAATTGCAGTGGAAGGATTGGAATAGAAGACATCCCGGACCTGCTGAGCACAGTTATGGGTGTCTTCCTCCACCAGATTGCTTTCCAAGGCTTGATAACTAGTGGGAGGGTCAGTTTCAGCACCAGTTTGGGGAGTTTGGGACCAATTTGAAGGTTCATTCTCATAAACTCTTGCAGTTAGGAGCTGCTGTGGGGTCATGGAGTGCACCAGTGTTAGTGACAAGTCTCTGCCTTAGAGACAGCTCCTGAGATACTGAGAGTCAGAGATGAATCCCAAGACCTTGTTTGCCCCTCTGGCTATTGCCATTACCCCTGTCTCCTGATATAACTGAGTTTCCCTCTGTATACTTCCCATCACTGCAACTGGACCAGTTTGACATGGAATTCTCTTCTGCAGTCCAGTGTATCTAGGAGGGAGAGCTCTCTCCATGTGTGTGTGTTTCTGTGGGTTGCCCATCCAACTCAGTCTAGCTCAGTCTTTGGGGTTTGTTGGTTTTGGGGTTTTTTTTTAATTATACTGCAAGGAAGGTGGGATTTTCCCCCAGAAGTGCTCCAGGGGCTCAGTGGAGCAGCTGGTCCACAGGCAACAGCCAGCTCCAGCTTCAGTTCCAGCTTCAGCTCTAGCTGGCACAGGCAGTGTATCCAATTGAAGCTGTAATGGTCCCATGTGGCACCCACAGGACTGAGAGTGGGTGCTTTTGTGAGACTGTATTTCCTTCTGGTGACCATGTGCTCTCATCCCTGCACAGCAGCTCTTCACTGACAAGCCAAGATTGTCACAGCTGTTAGCAGTGACAATCCCTTTTCTTCCTCCCTGGAGATCCATGCTTGTACATTCTCTCTTTCTGATCCAGACACCCTCCAGAGCAAAGGTTAGGAGGGGACACAGCAAGGATGTGCTTCCTGCTCCTTCTGCCCCAAGACTGAACTCTGAGCTCCTGATCTTACTCATTTCTTGTGCTGTCAGGTGCCAACCCCCTGCAGAAGAATGAAATGGGACACACACCCCTGGATTACGCCCGTGAAGGGGAGGTCATGAACCTTCTGAGAGCATCAGAGGCAAAGGTGAGCCTGAGATTCTGGCCAGTTTGGGTTTCCTCTCTCACTACAGGAACAACTTTAAAGATGTCACATGGATGTGGCACTTGGGGACATGGGTTAGTGGTGGCCTTGGCAGCTGAACTCGATGATCTGAAAGCGCTTTTCCAACCTAAATCATTCTATGATTTTAGGGTGCAAGCGATAGAAGGCCACCTAAGCACCCCTCCAGTTCCATCCTTTTCCAAAAGAAGTCTGTAAAAATTAAGAACACCATGCATAAGGAAAAACATCCACTTCTGTAGTATTTTAACTGTGGCTGTGCCCACCTCTTCCAAGGTACCATTTCTCACTGAGGAGTGACCTGCCCAGGACCGGTAATGCTGCTCTGTAACCCCTGGATGCAGTAAAATCCAGAGCCTGTTTTTACTGTATTTTCTGAAACTGTCTAACAAGCAGGGCTGAGAATCAGAGTCCAGCTATGGCCTGGGATCCAGGTGTTTATGTGCACCAACCTAAGGTAAAAGGCACCCATTTCCATGGTGGGATCTCATCCCTTCAGCCTCCATGTCCCATTTGCTTTAAAGAAGGAAAAGAAACACATTTGCCATCATGGTTCCAATAAAAATGCCAGGAATCAGTACATTTGTGGAACAGTGGGCTACTAGATAATGAGGGATCTGCAGTTAGATCTCAGGGATTTAAAATTCCTGGGCAGAGGCCTTGTTAATTATCAATGGGTAGGAGAGGCCATCACAGCAGTGGCAAGTGATGCCTCATCCCTGGAAGTGTTCAAGGCCAGACTGGATGGGGTTTGGAGCAACCTGGTCTAGAGGAAGGTGTCTCTGCCCATGGCAGGGGTTGAAACTGGGTGAGCTTTAAGATCACTTCCAACCCAAACCCTTCTGTGATGCCTTGTGAGCATCATCTCTCCAAGCAGCACAGATCAGCTAGGGCAGGGCACTCCCAGATAAGGGGCATTCCCTTGTCACCAGACCACACGAGCAGGAGCTGAGGCACAAGGGGACCAGGTTTGTTCCTGGCTGCAGAGTTCCTCTGACATTGTGGACCTCAGTGTTTGTTCTATGGGTTTGGAATTTAAACTTGCATGCTATAGACCTGAGGCTAACAACTTACCACAAGTGGAGGATGAAGGTAATTAAAACTGTGTCAATTACTGCACTGAGGAGGTATTACCATGAAATAAACCTGCCAGGTGTCAACTGCTGCACTGTCTGTGCTCTCCTCTTAAAAGTCAGCACTCAGGCAGGAGTTCAAAACCACATTCCCCAGTGCTAAATAAACCTCTGTCCTTAGTAGGGACAGAGTGATCTTTCCTCTGGGGCTCTCCATACTCCTTCCTGGCAAAGGAAATACTGCCATGGCTGTCCTCTGTGGTCCTGATGGCTGCTTTTGTAGCCAGTATGTGGTCACTATGGCAGCTCTGAGAGGTTTTCATAAAATCATGAAGGAAGAAACCTTAAAGCTCATCTCATTCCAATCCACTGCCATGGGCATGGACACCTTCCACAAGACCTGGTTGCTCCAAGCCCCATCCAACCTGGCCTTGAACACTTCCAGGCATGGAACAGCCACAGCTTCCATAGGCAACCTGTGTCAGGGCCTCACCATCCTCACAGAGAAGAATTTCTTCGCAATATCCCATCTAATCCTGCCCTCTGTCTTCCAGGGGGAAGCCATTCCACCTTGTCCTATCCCTCCACATCCTTATTCAGTCACTCTCCAACTCTCTTGGGGCCCCTTAGGCACTGGCAGGGGCTGTAAAGTCTCCCTGGAGCCTGCCCTTCTCTGGGTATACACCTCTAGCTCAGCCTGTCTCCAGAGCAGAGGTGATCCAGGCCTTGGAGTATCTCCATGTTCATCAGCTTCATTATCCATTATCTCTCCAGCATCCCTCCCAAGCATGGCTGCACTTATGAGAAAACACTCCAAGGGAAGAGGTCCATGAGCACAGCACCAGCAGAACCAAACCTTGGCATAAAACCTGCAAAGAGTGACAGTGTCTTTCACCTTACAGAAAAAAATAATTTGAAATACTAAAGGAAAACAGGATATAAACTGATCAGCCCAGACAATGTCAGTGACATGAGCTAAGCTGTGATAGCTTGTGGAGGTCTGGAGAGGGGTTCTTCCATAGGAAGGGCCAAACAAATCTTGAGGTAATTCTTGTGGGTTTAAAGAAAGGTTAAAATGAGCTTTCACTCCTCCAAACTCCACATAAAAGGTTGTGACCAGATTAGCCACCAGGCAGCTTTCAAATAACCAAAAGAGACATTTTTCTCATGAAATGTGCTTAAACCAGCAACCTGAGGGTGTTCAGGCTGGAAAAAGAAGCATGTGAGTCACAGCTGGAGGTTTGTTTTCTTGGAAAGGCCTATCAAAGGGGATGACTGGGATGAAGTGGACACCAGCTTCTGGTCAGGAGGTCTCACACTGCTACTTCCAGAAGGGCAAGGGCAACTATGCTCTTCCTAGCTGAAATATTCCTTAAAAATCCTTCATCAGACACTGATGAAGACAGGGAAGGTCACCAGATAGGTCTGTTAGGGTGCAAAGAGGAGCTGAATGGCAAAGACAGACTTGCAAGAGCCAAGCTCAGTCCAGGCACACTATCCCTCCAGTGACAGAGGAAAGACAGCAGTTTCAAGTGCTTTCCCTCCCTTTTAGTCATAGATACAGAAGTGCTTATTTTAATTTCTTCAGACTGTTTAGCACTGGAAACCAACTCAAGAGTCCTCAACACCAGGCAAGTGTGGTCTAAGATCAGGAAAAGCACACACAGAGTTCTGGTTTGGTTTTTTTTTTTTTAAGAATAAAGGAAATCAAAATAAATTAAAAATACATATGAAAACTCCTTGTTATTCTGTCACAAGGATATGTAAATAAAATCTATGGGATATGTCCATCCCGTAATAGTTCTGCCTATTCATTCTCTAGCAGTGATTAAAATGAGCAATAAATTCTCAAAGACTCTCAGTGGAATGTGGCTGCTGGGGAGGATGAAACCCCGGGAGCACCAGTTTCCCCCCAGCTGAATATTCATCACAGGCTGGCTTGGCAGTCTGCTGGTTTATATACAAGTACAATCATCTTCCTCAGGAACAGCTCCAGAGATATATTTCCTTTCTCTCCTCCAACTATTACTTAAGCATAAAAACCAAGGCAAGTTTCAAACTGTTCAGGGCAGGTTTCCTTATTGGTGCTGGGCTCAAGAGAGCATTTACCCCAGCAGATAATTCTACCCCTCCTGCTCTTAAAGAGTTCAGTTATTTTATTCTCCACTTTTCTTCCTTAAAACAACATGTGCTGGCAGTCCAGAAGCCCCCTGTATCCTGGGCTGATCCCACAGCATGGGCAGCAGGTGAGGTGGGGATTTTGCCCCTCTGCTCCACTCAGGTGAGACCCCACCTATAGAGCTGCCTCCAGCCCTGGGGCTCCCAACATCAGAAGGATGTGGAGCTGCTGGAGCAAATCCAAAGGAGGCCACTGAGATGCTCTGAGAGCTGGAGCCCCTCTGCTCTGGAGACAGGCTGGGAGAACTGGGGGTGTCCACCCTGGAGATGGGAAGGTTCCAGGGACAGCTTAGAGCCCCTGCCAGTGCCTAAAGAGGCTGCAAGAGAGCTGGAGAGGGACTCTGGACAGGAGCCTGGGGGAGCAGGACAAGAGGGAATGGTTTCACACTGCCAGAGGGTATTGAGGTTAGATGGGGTATTGGGAAGAAATTCTTCCCTGTGAGGGTGGTGAGGCTCTTGATACAGATTGTGTAGAGAAGCTGTGACTGTCCCATGCCTGGAAGTGTTCAAGGCCAGTTTGGATGGGGCTTGGAGCAACCAGATCTAGTGGAAGGTGTCCCTACCTGTGGCAAAGGGGTTGGAATGCAATGGTCTATAAGGTTTCTTAAGATCACCCTTCTGTGACTCCATGACTGCCATGGCTACCCCAGTGACAGGCAGACAGCTGTTACCACCTGCCAAAGCACAGACTGAGTCCTTCTCTTTTTAAAAATTAATATTTCTGATGCTTTTGGCCTTGCATCAGGAGAACTTCTTAACCCAGTTGAGTGCAGAAGTCTGGTTGTCTCCAACATAAGAGCAGAGCAGTGCTCCCTGCATTGCTCTCCAAGCAGGTAGCACCATTGTGCTCCACTTAAGTGCTGATCCTGAGCCAGGTAAGGATCATCAGGACAATGGAAGATCAGCTGCCAGAGAGTGGGGACACAATCCCCACCAACACCATTGCACACCACAAAGCGAGAAGGTGGGAACAGCTGGATGTGTATGGAGAGGGGAGCAGATGAGAGAAGAGTGGAAGTTTGTGTCTTATGTAAAATCCAGGATTAGTGGGGCTTTTTCTTGGAGGTTCTGTCATCAATGGATCTAAAATACGTTTTTCTTGGTGGGATTTCTTGTCCCAGTGTCCCCTGTACAGTGTAAGCTAAGGCAGATGCTCAGGATGGTCCAGGCGAGCTGCATGGCCCAGCCAGGAGCTGTGTTAGCACTTCTGGCCCACTGAGTAGCTGGCCTGAGTGCAGGGCTCTCCAGAACAGATCCTGAGCAGAAAATGGTACTTGTGCACAGGACTTGTACTGTGTCAGTTTTCCAGGGAGGGAGGGAGAGGGCATTGCAAAGGATGGGTATCCCTTCCTTCTCTTCCTGCACATCTTACCCACTCTCCATAAACCCATGGGAATCATTGGGTGTCCTAACATCACTGATCACATTCCTGCATCTTCCAAAAGGCCAGAGAGGAGAGGGAGAGAAAGAGAAAAGATTTGTCAGGATCCTACAGACACAGACATATGGTGAGGTCGTACCCAGTGCCGGGGGGATCAGCACAGGCAGGATGTCTGTCCCCGAGCTGCTCCACTAGGATCTGCAGGGAAGTTATTGCTCTGTGTGAGGATCAGGGCTCATGGCATCTCTGTTACACGTGAGACTGATAGCAGTGGCCAAAATTGGATTGTTCACTATTTATTATTTTTTAACTTCTGTCAGAATCACTGCTAGCCCAGGAGATGTCAGCAGCCTGGCTGGGGGTTATCCACTCCAGCTCCAGCAGCTGGATCCTGCTGCAGCTTTGGCACCTGCCTTCTGGCTTTGCTGGAGGGTGTTTCCCCTTAGTGAGATGGATTCAATGACAGGGTGCAGTTCTGTGGGTGCAGTTACTCACTTGGCAAACCCCATGGGCTCTTTGTGTTCTGTCTTCTGTCTGGCTTTGGGGGATGAATCTTCCCAAGGCAGTGGTCTCAGTTGGGAATGTCTGAGCTCAGCTTGTGGAAGGAAGAGTGCTCAGCAGCCTTTCTAAAGATCTTAGAATCACAGGTTTTGGGTTGGAAAGGACTTTACAGCTCACCTAATTTCACCCCCCTGCTGTGGGCAGGGACACCCTCCACTAGACCAAGTTGATACAAGCCCCATCCAACCTTGCCTTGGACACTGCCTGGGATGGGGCAGCCACAGCTGCTCTGGGCATTCTGTGCCAGGGCCTTACCACCCTCACAGGGAAGAATTTCTTCCCAATATCCCATCTAACCCTCAACAGGAAGCCATTCCCCCTTATCCTGTCACTCCATGCCCTTGCCCAAAGTCCCTCTCCAGCTCTCTTAGATATAAGGCACAGTGATACTCTGCCACCCCTGCAGGATCTGATTGGAATCTTTGAACAGAAAATGGTTGGAGGGTAGGAAGACAAACTAGGTAGAATAGGACTTTATTTCCCAAAATAAACAGCACCTAATGATTAAGAGCTGTTGAGCAGTGCCATTGTTCCCTCTGTCACCAGTACAGAGGTAGCACAGGGTCTGGTTTCCCATCAGCAGAGCAGGATCCTTATTCCCACTCACCCCAGCTGCCATCCATGACAGATTCAGAAATTACTTCTTTCCAGGGCTGGTGCATCCAGACCAAACTGCATCTGCCCTGGGGATGTTCTGGCTCCATGTCAGAGAGATCCCCATACAGGGCTCTGACATCTGTGTAGTGACCCAATGCTGTGTAAAGTCTCTGATCCCTATGTTTTCTTCCCTCCACAGTTCCAGGAGGAGCAGCGCAGGAGAGAGGTGGAGGAACGGCGGAGATTCCCACTGGAACAGCGGCTAAAGGAGCACATCATTGGTCAGGAGAATGCCATAGCCACAGTGGGGGCAGGTAGGACCCTTCACATGCTGCCAACTCTGCCCTCCACACCTGCTCCACAGGGGAGACAAGCTGTTGCCTCAAGCCTTGATCTGAGGCTGCCTCCGGGCAGCCTTGCAAGGTTGTTGGGGAATTCACAGTGGATGCCCCATCCATGGAAGTGTTTAAAGCCAGGCTGGATGGGACTTTGAGCAATATGGAAGGTGTCCCTGCCCATGGCAGAGAGTTGGGACGAGATGAGCTACCTCCCAACACAAACCATTCTGCGCTTCTATGTAATCAAGGCTCTGGCAATCTGGGCTGGGTTTGATTTGCCAGTCCAAAGCCTCTGGATCCTGTCAATAATTCCTGACCCATCCATGCATCCCAGTTAATGCCTGAAAATGGGATAGCAAAATAAGAGCTGTTGAGGCCAGGGCAGAATCACAAGGAACGTGCTGTCAGAAACACAAACCCTTTGCTTTTAGTTAACAAAGAGGAGCCCAGTGTGGGCTGGGAGCTGAGGAGGAACCGGGAAGGAGCTGGGAAGGAGTCTACGCTCCTGCAAAAACAACAGCCACCCTGTGTGTTCAGAGAACGGCTGTGCCTGGGGGCAGCAGCCCGGCTAATTGGGGAGCTGTGATTAATGGGCAGTGCCTGTTCCTGACACAGGTGGCGTTTCTGCGCATTAACGTCCTTGCCTTTATGGAGGTTTTTCTTATTGAATTATAGGGAATGTGCTTGATACCCCTACAGCCTCAGGATATTGGACCAAAAGGTAGTGGGAGACTCTCTGTCCCCTCCTCCCCCCCCTTTCCCTTCTGTCCAGTTTTTCTTTTCGTTTTCTTTTCTTTTTGTTTTCTGTCCAGAAGGATGAATTTTAAGACAGGACTTTCTCTCTCAAGCGCTTCCTCTCTATCTTTGCTATTTATTTTGTGCCCAGCTGGTTTTCCTGCTGCTTTGTAGACCCTACATCCCTCCACTCTGCCCTCACCACTGCCATTTGCTGGTGAGCAGACCTGCCACACACCACATCTTCAGATCCACCAAGCCTGCCTGATATGTTTAATTTATAACTGGTGCCTTAATTGAATAATTGGATTTAATCTGTCACTCGGTGCATGATCCAAACAGTCTCCAGAGGGGCTTAGCCAGAATACAAAGGGAACGTGTGATCTGGGGTTAGAAACACAAGGTCTGGAGCAATGGGGATAGAATGGAGTCACAGAATTATGGAATAATTTAGAAAAACCCTCTAAGATCACCAAGTCCAGCTGTTATCCCATCAACCCCCTGCAAGGGGATGCACTGGGAACGCTGGTAGGGAGCTCACTGCAGCCACAGCCCCAACAGCATGGCATCACTGCCAGAGGGGAAATCCTCCCCCAATGCCTCCATAGGATATACCCAAGCCCTGCAGCACTCTTTTCTGATATGTGGAGCAGGACAGGACTGGGAGAAGGTGGATGATGGTTAACTGATGGTGACTGGGCATCTCCCAGTGTAAAAGGTTTCTACCGCTGCCTGACTGGTTGATAGTGGGTGGCAGCTTGGCCACCCCCCTCGATGGGTGTAGATGTTCAGTTCATCTTAACAAAATCCCCATTAAATATTCCATCTCCTGACATTAGAAACAGGCAGGTCATTGCTGCCATCTCAGGAACTGCTGGGATTCTCTAACTGGTACATACAAATGAGCAGCTAAAAGGCTTAGGCTTGTTTTTCCAGGCACTTCCATAAATGGTTGAGCTCTGGATCTGATTAGGGCTGCTTTGCCTTTTCACTGGAATATGAGGAGGCAGAGGGGATCAGCAACATCTCTTCTCTGAAGTTATAAGCTAAAGGAGGCATTTTTCCCAAATATATATATATATATATATGTGTGTGTAATTTTTTTTGGTCTAATATCCTAAATATTATGCCAGGTAAAGAATATATTTTTATATGGATATACCATGTTTGCTGGTCAATACTCACTTAGAAGTAGGGTGGTTCAAACCTACCACTTCCCCTTTTCAGGGGGAATAAACCTTGAGGGTTGAAGCAATCTGTTCCAGCTCTTCCTGAAGTTGAATAAGGAGAGAGGAAGGAAAAGTGTTGTTTATTTTTCAGGATTTTGAAGAAAGGGTAGTGCAGAAAAATCTATGTTTTAATGATAATATTCCCAATTTTAGAAGCTATGATATTGAAAATCAGTCAGTGTTTCAAACGTGTAGGGAAATGGATGAGGAGGACTATCATCCTGCTCTGGTCCAAAGGAAACTGGGGTTATTTTGGACAATATAGGGCTGTTTTTTGATGTGTGTTGCTGCCTGCAGGTCAGGTGAAACTTTGCAAGGACACAGCTTTGATCTAATTTGGGGTTCCATAAGCCTGAGCCACCAGCAGCAGGGCTGGAAGAGAGCTTCTTTGGGAATGCTGCGGACCCTGGAGCATCACTGCAGTACCTGGGTAGAAGCAGTGATCCCAGGATGGGCTTGGCCCCAGAGCCTTCGCCCTGCGGTACCCCAAACCCGGACAGGCCAAGGAGCCCTGCAGAATGAATTGATTTGATAAATGGACATTTATTACACTCACAAATTGGCTGAAACCAATTTCAGTCACATCAAGTGCTGATAACTGCTGGGGTATTGATTTGTGTAAAGTAATACAGTGAATTTATCAGTTCAATAGTGGGCTGAAGGGCCTCTTGGAGACGCAGGGCTGCAGTCACACTGTTACAGATGGACGAAATAAAGCGAGAGCACGGCAGCAATGCCAGGAACAGCTCTGCAGAAGAAGGCCCCAGCGTCATCATCATCAGGCTCTTGTTTTGGACATTGGGGCTGAATGTCATAATGAGATTTCAGCACAGCAGTGTGACCTCCCTCCTGGTATTTATTTATTTATTTATTTATTTATGCCAGGAGGAAGGAAGGGGGCAGCTTTCCCAGAGGCAGAGCATAGATTTCATGCTTGGGTGACAATGAAGAGCGGTCAGCATGGCCAGCAGCTGCTTTGGTAGTGCAGACTCCAAGGAGAAGAGTGCTTCTGTGGCTTTCCTAGCTGGGATTTTTATCCTTGGAACTGGTACTGATGTTCTGCTTTGGTCCAGGATGGGGCTTCTGTTCCTACTGCTGAAGATGAACACTGCACTGGACAGTCTGAGAGAGCCTCCTCCAGCCCCAGTGGTAGAACCTAGGGAGTGGTGTCCCATCCCTAAGGATACTCAGATTTTTTACGTTTTTCCAAACTTCAAGAGTGCTGGAGGAGCTCATCATTTTCAGGCTGCTTGTAGAAAAGCATTTACACTCTGTTGATCTGATTACGCTGCTGACTAGTGACCGTGGAACAGTTTGGCTTAGGCAAGACCTTAAAGCCCATCACATTCCAACCCCCTGACATGGACAGGGACACCTTCCACTAAACCAGGTCGCTCTAAGCCTAGTACCAGCCTGGCCCTCCAGGCACAACTTCTCTTGGCAACCTGTGCCAGAGCCTCACTAGCCTCATAGGAAAGAATTTCTTCCTAAATATGATGCTCACATCTACTGACAGAGATCACATGCTGATTCTAAGCTCTGACTTTATGGTAGTTTTTTAAGGGATGCTTTATATCCCTGGAGTTGCTTTGAGTATTTATCCATAAACTCTGGCATCCTGCTGCAGAGGGGAGGGGAAGAAGGCAGCACTTAACCCCACTGTCTTTGGACCCTGAATGTGCTTGACCCTGTGAGTGGTCACTCCATGCCCCAAAGCAGAAGTTTATTACTTTTATTACCATTATTATCTTAGCTGAGATAGCTGCAGGAATTATTGGCGGTTGTGTTACTCCCCATCAGTTTTTATGAAATTTCCCACCCCAGGTGTTTGACCTCTTGTTCATTGCTGTAAAGGGTTGAGAAGGAACTTGTGCAGTGCTGGGAAGGGCACACAGAGGGATGCAGCAGAGACCCTTCCCTGCACCACCCTGTCAGTGGCAGAGCATTTTCTCCTCCTCATCTCCTGTGATGGCTGTTTCCAGGGATGACATGGTAAGGGAGCAGCTGAAGGACAGGATGGGATTCCCACCAATCTTTGCCCAGGATTTTGAACAGAACCAGATTGCTGGCTGCAGCCAACCTGGTCTGTCATGCTGATATGCCCAGGCAGGGTGAGATGGAGCCAGGCACCAGCCAGTGCTGCATCTGGCCTTGGCCCAAGCTAATGAAGCCTTGGCAGGAGTCAGGGATCATTAGCATGGCCAGGGGGACAGGTAATGCATCTGCCTGTGCCCAGGCATGGAATGGCAAGTCCTTGAGGCACTGGGGTTCTGCTCCCACTAAATGCACAATCCCAGTACTCAGTCCCATTTCTGAAGGGGTTGGAACTGTGGTCTTTAAGGTCCCTTCCAACCCACACCCTTCTACAGTTACATGATTCTACATGCCTTGGATTTAAAGTTAAATTGGGGATTTTTTTGATGTTTGGACAGTGATGCAAACCTTCATCTTCATCCTGAGCTACCACTGCTTTTGGGAAGCCCTTCTGACTTTTCCTGCAGACTTTACAGGGATTAAGAATTCAGTCCCACTCTCTTCCTAAGTGGCTGCAGTGGTTAATCACCTTCGTTATTAAAACTGTTCTGCTTTATTTGTAGTTTGATCCTCTCGCTCCAGCCCCTGGAGCACCTTAATTTTCTCTGTAGCTGAGCAAGTTCAGTGCCTTCTTGGGGAGATACTTAATGACTGTGGTCAGGTCACTCCTCACACCCCTCATCATTAACCTCAGCTCATTGATTTGTTCTTGTAGTGAGGCTTTGCTCTTGTTTTCCTTATCCTCACTGGATCTGCTGGCTCCCCTGCTACCTGGGTCTCCTGGAATACAAGCATGGACTCTGAGGAGCTCGGTTTCATGCAGGTCTTGCAGCTCCAAATTCCCATGAGACTCCTCCATGCATCTATAAACTTCAGCTGCTGGAATATCTGACTTGAGCTGCTGCTGTTTAACATCTTCCCAGTGTGTCCCTGCTGGCACAGGCAGCATTTCCATGTCAGGCTGTAGGCTGTGACATTCCATTTCTTATTATTTGCAAAATGGAAATATTGTTTAAATATTTTTATATGCAAATATTTTTTGTGCAAAATGGCACTACTTATTTCCCATGTCAGTTTGTTCTCCTGTGCAGGAAGAACTAGTGGCATGCCATGCCTAGGATCCCTTTTTTTTTGGTGCCTTCTATTTACCACACCCCATCATGAAAAGGGTTTTATGGACTGACTTTGAGATTGAATTTAAGAATTCTGCAGTTTTAAAAGCCACTCTTGTGCCCTTCTGCCAGCTCAGGGAAGAAAATAAACCCACAGCTCCCCACAGAGACAGCCAGTGCCTTATTCAAGGGAGACACAGGACTGAGGCACAAGGACAGAGGCTGAGACCCAGGGTAATAGCCAGAAGATGAGGGAGCTGTGTTTTGAGGGTGACAGTCACAAGGAGAAGTGGGTTTATTCTTTCTTGGCTTTATTCCTGTTTTTGCTGTGGACACCACTGAAAGGCAGCAGAGGCCGAGCTTTGCCATGCCTGTGTGCAGCAGCATTCCAAGGGCTTTAAGGCACAGCTCTCCCAGTGTTTTCCTTCTGCTCATCCCACCTCCTGTGCTGCTGTTTTCCCCCACTACTTTCAAATTCCTTGTCAGTTACAATTTTTGGGCATCTTGCCATTTTCTTGCCCTGCTTCCTAATGTGCCACATTTTGGGTTCAGCTGGATCTGGGGGTGCCATGTGCCCATCATGAGACCTTGCTGGGTCTGAGGGGTCCTGAGACTGTACAGTGCATGTTCTCTTTTACAAAACACCTTGCAAGACTTACAGGCTGGATTGAAATACTGCAGATAAAGCAGAAAGGCTGGGATGTCAGTTAATCTCTCACATTGAACTGGAAGCTGGTTTGATCCAGAGAAACCACTTCTGTGTTCCAGAGACCAGATCCAGCCAGCAGAGGATGAGATTTGATCTTTTGGCCTCAAAAGCACTTCCTCCTCCTTTAAATAAGCCCAGTGCAATGATGTCACTGGTTTGGTGAGCACGCTCACAGAGCCTGAGGCTGCTCTGAGGGGCTGAAGAGTACCTTGGGGAGCCGTGGGCACCCATGGGGATAGGAGCTACCACCCACTCTGCACAGCAGATCGTGTCTGTCCTGAGAAAGGGCTGTGCTGGTTGGACTGGGAAGGAATCAGGGCTCTTGCCTTTTGTAAAATTTTCCACTGGTATCTCACCCAGGATGCACTTGGATTCCGCTATCCAGGGAAGCACTGAGATAATCACCGCACTTTTCCCAATCCTTGCACCAATTCAGTGTTTGTGATCTTCAGCCACCTCTTTCTTCCCATTCCATGCCAGAAATAACCTATAAACCTCTTCAAAACTGATGGTTTTTCCTCACAGAAAGGTTGCACTTGGGAGCTGGTGAGGCAGAGTGCCTCTCCATCCCTCTGTCCATCCATCCATCCTTGTCCCCCCCCTCCACCATCTCCCTGGCAACGCTGAGTGCACATCCTGGAAAACTTTATCCGAAATCTGCTCTGGGCAGCTTTCCAAATCCATGCTAACCTTATTAGGTGTCTCTGGGGCCTTGGCTAGCTAATCAAATTAGAGAGCGCTAATGGCAGGGAGGACTGGGAGTGGGTAGAGAGCAGTAAAACATAGTGTATACTTAGTGATAATTACACTTGCTTTGTGGCATTGATTTATATGCTTCCCCCCCCCCTCTTTTTTTGTTTTCATTGTCTTCAAATGCAGCGATTCGGAGGAAGGAAAATGGCTGGTATGATGAGGAGCACCCGCTGGTGTTTCTTTTCTTGGGATCATCTGGAATAGGTAACATTTGGGTTGTGGGGAGGGGGATGGAGAGCCCTGAGGAGAGGGGGTGGAAGCTGTTGCAGGGCTGCAGGGTCTGAATGAAATACCAGTTAAACACACTGTCATCTTTCAGCGGGTCAGCCATCATCCAGCAGGGTGACCCCAGCTGGACACCAGCACACACAGTCACATCCAGCCTCATGCTGAGTTATCCCAGAGGACAGCCCCCCTCCAAGTCTCAAAAAGGGGCAGTTTTCAAAGTAAAAGTATTACTTTAACAACTTTCTGGTGAAAAACCCTTTATTCCAATGGGAATGGTGGGATAATAGTAGAAATTTGCTGCCTGCAAACTGAATCTCTGCTCATTTGCTCCTGTGAGTACGGATTGCTTTGGAATGACAGGGTTTTATTGACACCGATAAGATTTGTCCTCCAGCCCAATCAAATGCCACATGACAGCTGATCAGTTCATGAAATGGTCCAAATGACTTTTAGTTGTGGAAAAAACCCCAACAAAACAGCTTCAAAGTAACTGATCTGTGACATTTGGAACAACCTCAGGGCTTCTCCTGCCTCCACTGCCTCCCAAAGGGCTCCAGAAGGTGCTGATGCTCCACTGCTGGGGGGGTTAAAGGGGCACAGGTGAGATTTTGCTCCTGCTGCAGAACAGTACCAGGCCAAGCATTAACTCCAAATAAGTTGCTATAAAGCTGTATAAAATCAGGATAAAATATTTTTGATACTTCATTGTCCTGCTAGAGCATATCTAAAGACTCAGGGATGTAAATTGTTGGCTCTTCCACTCCCATGGACTTCCATGGGGGCTTTTCTTTTCTTTTCTTCTCTTCTCTTCTCTTCTCTGTTTTTTTTTATGGGAAGCATAGTTTCTTGCATCCTTACACATCAGGAGCTCTGATCCAGCATCATCCAATGTCAGCAAAGCTCAAACTGAAATCAGATGTAAAATTTTGGCAGAGATTTATCAGGTGGAGCAGAGCACACCCCATGAATTCCTGTATTTGTAGCCCTTTTTTTGGTGATTTACTGATCTGACCACCAGATCTATTGTCCCTGCAATGCAGCTGTGGTTAGATGTACAGTACTCCAGTAAGAATGTACTTTTCCACCTAATTTCTTTTTAAAAACACGTGGGTTTTTTCTTCAGAGTAGTTATTTCTGTCCCTGCTCATTTATTTTTCAGTGTGCAAGTAAATCCTGCAGGGATCCATGTGCAGTGCACTGCTGACAGGTGTGCAAGGGACCAGTGTGAACCCCCAGAGCATCCATCCTCCAGAGGGGGGACTGGCTTCACCTCAGCTTTGCTGGTCACCCCAAGAGCCAAAATTGGCCCAGTCCTTGCCCTGATCAACCTGACAAAGCCAGCAGTGTCATGCTGGGGGGTAGCAACAGGGAAGAGAAGTTTTCTGGCATCCACACTTGAATAAAACTGCCTCTTCAATGAAGATTTTCCCCAGATGGATGAGCTGGGAGAATAGGACATGGCCTGGAATGAGCTGGTACATGTGTTCACCCTCAATAAATGCCTCATGCCTCTATAAATGCCTTCCAGGGTGGATTTGCTCCATTACTGACTGTTCTTAATCTGAGATTTTTTTTACTGTCATCTTATATAAAGCATAGAAAAAACACCCCATTTCCATGAAATTCTTTATTTGGAGATTACAAGACATTGCACAAGGAACTTGGAATATTGAGGGTAAATATAGCAAAAATCTGATCTGATCATCAACATCTTTTTGTGGAAAAAATTGAGAGCTTTGTTCCCATCATGTGAGAGTCAATTAAAGCTGAAGGAGCCAATGCAGAGATGTCACTATTCTAATGCATCTGTTCACCCTGCCCAGGCTGGGAACACCACTGAATGTGATCCTGGAGATAAAACAGCAGTACCACTTCCCAAGGAAAATCCATGTATTGGTTGCAGGAAGTTCCAGCCCTGGTGTTAGCAGAGCTGATGAACAGACAGAAGATGGACAGAGCTGGTATAATGCAAGTTTATTTTTCTCTCTCCAAAACAGGTAAAACAGAGCTGGCCAAGCAAACAGCCAAGTACATCCATAAGGACATCAAAAAGGTAATGGCTCATCCCAGCTTTGTGCTGGCACTAAAAGGGATGCTGGGAGGGTCGTCAGGGGGTTCATTGTGTGGCTGTGGTGCCCTGAGAAAGGGCTTTTCTGCACTGAGAGGGACCTGTCAAGGTCATGGAGTCACAGGTCTGGACTGCAAGGGCGTTTTAAGCTCATCCAGTTCCACCCCTCCTGTCAAATGCAGGGACACCTTCCACTAGACCAGGTTGTTCCAAGCCACATCCAAATGGATGAACACTTCCAGGGATGGGGCAGCCACAGCTTGTCTGGGCAGCCTGTGCCAGGGCCTCACCGCCCTCACAAGGAAGAATTTCTTCAATCTTACCCTGCCCTCTGTCAGTAGCAAGCTGTTCCCCCTTGTCCTGTCATTCCATGCCCTTCTCTTGCAGCCCTTTTAGGCCCTGGAAGGATCTCTAAGGTCTTCTGGGAGCCAGCTCTTCTCCAGGCTGGACACCCCCAGCTCTCCCAGCCAATCTCCAGAGCAGAGGGGCTCCAGCTCTCAGAGCATCTCTGTGGCCTCCTCTGGACTGTCTCCAACAACTCCACATCCCTGTGATGTTGGACCCCAGAGCTGGAGGCAGCTCTGCAGGTGGGGTCTCACCTGAGCAGAGCAGAGGGGCAAAATCCCCACTTCACTCTGCTGCCCACACTGGGATCAGCCCAGGACACTGTCTATGCTCCTGTCTGTACCAGAATATTTGAATTGGAAAAATTTAAATTGATGTAACATTTGTGCTTCCTGTTGAATTTTGCTCTAATTTTGACATCCTGTGTTGTGAACATATTTTTTTTGCCTCTGTTACTAATATCACTGTAAATTGTTAGGAGGATAAAATTCCAGAAATCTGTTTTCCATGTCCCCACCTCCACCATTTGTCATATCCTGCCAGTGTGGACTGTAGCGATGCAACATTGATTTCCTGCTCAAAATTTTAAGCGCTGAAGTGTTTGGTATCCAGAAGCAGTTTGAATTATTTAGTTTGTTACCCAGTAGTTAGATTTTAGAGAAGATGGGTTGGAATTATTTCATGGAGGTGGTGGCTTTGCAGGAGAACACTTCAGTGGTGTCTGGGGTTTCCATTCCATTCTGTTCTATTCTATTCTATTCTATTCTATTCTAATTATCTCTATTCTATTCTATTCTATCCTGTCCTGTTCTATTTCATTCCATTGATTCGTAACCTGTTCCGTTCTCTATTGTTTCTTTCCAATCTATTCCAATCTATTCTATCCCATTCTGTCAATTCTATTCCATTCCAATTATTTCAATCCATTCAATTGCAATGTATTCTACTTCTGTTCTATTCTATTCTATTCTATTCTATTCTATTCTATTCTATTCTATTCTGTTCTATTCCAGTCAAATCCATTCCATTCCATTCCATTCCATACTGTCTTCCATTCTAATCTATTCTGTTCCATTCCATACCATTCTATTCAATCCCAATCTTCCATTCCATTCCATTCCATTCCGTTCCATTCCATTCCATTCCATTCCAATGGAATTTTCTTCCTTTCCATTCTGTTATGTTACATTCTCTTCCATGTTTCACATTTAAGCCTCTGCCTACCTGTAAGAGGTAGTTAGCTCTCTCCCACATGAAGCCAGGGAAAAGAAGGAAAGACAAGCAGAGCTGTGCATAGATGAATCCCTCTTCCCCACGTCCTCCAGCAGTGAATGGACACACAATGCAGCAACACATGTAGAAAGACCAAGCTGGAACCAATGCTATAAAAACAGTTCTTCTGGTTCTTTTCCTCATGCTTCTATAAATGCCTTCCAGAAGCCATAAATCCTGGATCTAGAGCACCTTCATCCCTAATCCCACACGTGGAACTACTCCATGGCCAGACACCCAATGGGGAAATCAGTTAAACCCTGAGTGTTAATTTGATAGCAGCAGGAATCTGGGATTTATTAGGAATGAACTAGCTCAGCCATTGGTCCCCTCATGAGGGATGAGGCTCTGATGAGGGGCTGCAATTCACAGGAACTGATGGATTAAGAAAGGAAAACCTGAAACTGTCCCCCTTTCATTTGTAAGACAGAGTAATTTGTTTCCATCTTGCTCTGCCCTGGGCAGTTTGTAGATATTTTAATAATTTTCAGGGAAATTTTTGCATGGGAATATTTTGCCCAGAGAACCTGTGGCTGTCCTATCCCTGGAAGTGTTCAAAACCAGGTTGAATGAGGCTTGGAGCCATTTGGTCTAGTGGAAGGTGTCCCTGCCCATGGCAGGGGGGTTGGAATGGGATTGTCCTAAAGGTCCATTCCAACCCAAACCATTCTCTGATTCCATTATTTTCCCAGGTAACAAATGACAGGACTAGAGGAAACTGCCTCAAGTTGCAACAAGGGAGGTTTAGGTTAGATATTGGGGAAATTTTTTTCTGCTCAGCTCTGGAAAAGGCTGACCAGGGCAGTGGTGGAGTCCCCATTCCTGAAGAGATCCACATGTGGATGTGTGGATGTGGCACTTGGGGACATGGGTTGGTGCTGGGCTTGGCAGTGCTGAGGGAGCAGTTTGGCTCTGTTGTCTCAGAGGGCTTTTCCAACCCAAAGGGTTCAGTGATTCTGTTCTCTAATTCTGGGATCCCTGTGTGATGGTGTCTGTGGGTGTGCCATGTCCACATGTCCAGATGAGATGTGTTCCCAGACATGTCTCATGTCTCCTTCTCCCTCATGGACAGGGGTCATGGCTGGTTGACTATTCCAGGATGATGCTGGGAAGCTGAGGCTTGGCTTCTCCTTGGTCAGCTGGATGAGAGGTCCTTTTCAACTGAAATATTCCTATTTCCAACTGAAATATTCCTATTTCCTCCCCTTCCCTCTCCCTCCCTTCTTTTCCTTTCCCATCTAGGATGTGGATTACAGCTCCATGATCACAACATTCAGTACCTGCAGTGAATCATCAGCTTTTCAGATGCAAAATGGATACTTGGGTGGATGCTATAAATTCTCTAACACTATTCTCTGTTTTAGGTGATCACCCACAAGCCCAGTTCACCTCAGCTTTATGATTTTTGCCGGATTTTTTTGTGGAGGGGTGTTGCATTCTTCTTGTGATTGATTTCTAAAAAGCTGAACCACAAAAATATCTATTTTATTTGGAGAATTTCAGCCCTGTCAGTACTGCTCCAGCTCTGGCAGCGAGCAGATTGATCAAATCTCATCCTAAATTTCTTGCAGGGTTTCATCAGACTGGACATGTCGGAGTTCCAGGAGAGGCATGAGGTCAGTAAATGGGCTCTGAAGGGAGAAGCTTCAAACTTAATCCAGAAAAAATGGGCATTTTGGTATGTCAGGGTGGGAGCACAGCAGAACAACAGGAGTTGCTACAAGTTGTGCATTAAATTGCAAGTAAATTGCCAGAAAGCAACCTTAATTGAGTATTGTGGTTTAGGCATGATGCTTAGATTAGGGCTCCCACTGAGACACTCCAAACCAGGAGCCCCTCACTCACTCCCTGCCTCCCCTGTCCCTCCCCACAGCAGTGGACTGGAAAGGAGAACTGGAGGCTCAAAAGGTAAAGGCCATGGGTTGAAATAACAACCATTTACTGGAAACAGAAATTACATAAGAAAACAAACAAGCAACAATATTAAAAACAAAAGTATGTAAAAGAGAGAGGGAGAGAGATTCACATGCAAAATGCTCACTGATCCAACCCAGCCACAGTCACGCCCTCCAGCTCAGAACCAGCTACTTCACATATTCCACATCCTTCTGCTGCTCTTCTTTGACCAGAAGGAACCCATTCTCCCCAGAAGACTCCTTTCCCTCTGCTCCATGACATGAGGTAAGATAGAATATCCTCCAGGTCCAAGACTTGCCCCTCCTGGTTACTGCAAAAATTAACCCTGTCCTGGCTGGAACAAAGGCATTGAGGCAAATTAGGAGCAGAGACAAAGGAGCAAGGAAAATTTCATATGTGTCCAGTGCTGTGAATTCCCTTGGGGTGGGGTCAGCCCTTGGGGAGAGAGCAGCTGAGAAGAGATGTTGGAATCCAGAGGATCATCTTGAACCCTCAGCCACATGCTGTGCATCACCTAACATTGCCCAGGCAGGCACAGCTTACCCCAAACCCCTTATCCCCAAAACATGGCTAAGTCCAGTGTGGGATCTTTGCCTCAGCCTACCTTCCATGTAGGAAAGGAGGAGAATCCAGCAGAATATAGGGCAATGGTGTCAAGTGCACCCCTCCCATCACAACTTCTGCCCAGTTGTGGTGCCACAGGAGGTCCAAGGTGTCAAGTTTTCTGTGATCCTTGCCAAGGTCACCCCTGGACCTGAGCCCTCCCTTTGGGGGGCTCTGTTTCCCCAAAAAGTAGCAAGGTCCTAGCAATGAGAGTGGTAAAACACTGGGACAGGTTATCTAGTGAAGCTTTGGCTGCCCCATCCTTGGAAGTGTTCAAGGTCAGATTGAATGGGGCTTGAAGCAACCTGGTGGAGTGGAATGTGTCCCTATGTATGGCAGCAGGGCTGGCACTACATGGTCCCTTCCAACCCAAACCATTCCATGGTTTGGCTGTGACTTTGGATGACACTCAGACCTGGGTAGATGTAAGGTGCACCAAGCTATGTGTCAAAAACTGTCATTTTGCCAAAACTTTCCTGTTGTCAGAAATACTATTCTATATAAACTTCTAAATTTCTAAATGTTTTTAAAAAACACCCTGTCAAGGAGTGATGACATAGGAAAAGTACTTTACTTGTGGTCTCTTCCCACAAAGCCTACTTGTGGCTTTGATTCTGCACCAGTACCACCTGCCACTTATAATCCTTTGAATTCTTGCTTTTAAAAGGCTAAAAGGGATGAAAATAGGTCTTGGACATCTCAGACAGGTTGCTCAGACCCTGCATAGCAAAGCAGGGCTGGTGCCTTCCCACCTGGCCATGCCTGCTCCTTGGATTCTGCTGATTTGAGCTCTGGGCAGGGAACTGCTTAATCCTTATTTTGCTTAATTGTTGCTTATTGAGCTGCTTTTGGGATACCTGGGGTGTGATAGGTGTCACAAAGAACATGGAATTTGTTTTGTCAGCAGCAAAGAGTGGTGGCAACCTGACAAGCTACCAGAAGGGCTTCATTCCCACTGTCCATGGATCAGCCTTCACCTTTCCTGTTCCTTCCTCCCAGGTGGCGAAATTCATCGGCTCACCACCCGGCTACGTGGGCCATGAAGAGGGAGGACAGCTCACCAAAAAGCTGAGGCAGTGCCCAAATGCTGTGGTACTCTTTGATGAGGTGGACAAAGCCCACCCTGATGTGCTCACCATCATGCTGCAGCTGTTTGATGAGGTAAATCCACGTCCAAGGTTAGAGTCAACTCAAGGGACATGCAGAAGGGGACAGTGAGGGGTGAGAGGGATGTCAGATGGAGGAGTTTGGGTTGGAAGGTACTTTAAAAGAACATCTAGTCCACCCCTCCTGCCATGGGCAGAGACACCTTCCACTAGACTAGGTTGTTCTAAGCCATGTCCAACTTGGTCTTGAACACTTCCAGGGATGGGGCAGTCCCAGCTTCTCTGGACAGCCTGTACCAGGGCCTTGCCACCCTCACAGAGAAGAATTTCTTTCCAGTATCCCACCTAACCCTGCCCTCTGGCAGTATGAAGCCATTCCCCCTTGTCCTGTCACTCCAGGCCCTTGTCCGAAGTCATTCTCCAGCTCTCTGGTTGATTTTGAAGGTCCCAGTCTGTCCTCAGAGGCCACCAAACTCCAGAGCAACATGCTGGAAGATTTTGAAGGGGTTTTTTTGTTTTTGTTTTAAGGATTAATAACACCATTTTTCTTGCATAGATCATCACAGTAGCAGTTCAATGTGAAATCAATTCCTGTACCAGGAACTTGACAGGGCAATAACCCAAATGTTAATCTCAAGCACCCAACAAGGATTTGTGTCATTGTGCTGGATCTCTGCTGTTGGAGATGGATTGAGGAAAGAAACAGCCTGGGGAGATGCTGCTTTTTTCCTTATTTCCCTATCTTTTTTATATTATTAATCAAGAGCACTGGTGTTTTGGAGGTTCCTGGATTGGTTTGGGGGGGTGAGGGTTGATGTCACTTGAGCAGTGTGGTGCTGGGCAGTCCCACAGGGATGAGGAGCTCTGCTACTCAGGTCACTCTGTTACAGCCATAACATGGTTATTTGTGAGCTCTGCCCAGCCCAAACCACAGCCACAGGCAGTGTTAGGGATAGCATTAGCATTAGTGCTGAGCTGAGCCTGGGGCTTGTGTCAGACCTAAAACCATCACAGGGAGGTAGGCAGAGGGTCAAAGGCTGGGGAGCCACACAGTCATGGAATCATTGAGGGTGGAAAAGCCCTCTGAGACCATCAAGTCTAACCCTTCCCTCAGCACTGCCACATCCACACAGCTTTTACATCCCTCCAGGGATGGGGACTCCAACACTGCCCTGGGTAGTCTATGCCAAGGCTGGACAACACTTTCAGGGAAGAAATATTTCCTGATACCCAACCTGTACCATCCCTGGTGCAACTTGAGGCCCTTTGTTCTTGTCCTGTCCCTTGTTACCTGGAAGGAGACCAAGACCCCCATTGCAGATCCCTGTCAGGGAGCTGTAGAGAGCAGGAAGTGCCTCCTTCTCTCCAGGCTGAGCAAGGACATGGACTGCCCAATCCTCCTCCTGGGAAGGCATCTCCCAGCACTTCCATTCTGTCCTGGATGGGGCAGACTGGGACCATGTGCAGGAGAAGTTCCTGCCATTCACAGAGAGACAAGGACTTCTCCAACCTCATCCTTGCTTCCTTCCACCTCAATCCTTGGGTATCCCTTCAAAATTAAATTCACTCTGGGGAAAAACGGAACCCTCGTTGTTTTTCCTGGTGTTTTGGCTATGTCCTCCAGCACTTGCTTACACAGCTGGTGTCATCTTGCTGTTGTTGCAGGGCAGGCTGACAGATGGAAAGGGGAAGACCATTGACTGCAAGGATGCCATCTTCATCATGACCTCCAACGTGGCCAGTGAGGAGATTGCCCAGCACGCACTGCAGCTCCGGCAGGAGGCCATGGAGATGAGCAAGAAAAGGATTGCAGAAAACTTAGGTACTGGAGCTTCAGTATTCAAAACCCTAAAGAACCTCCCTGCTTCCTAATACAACTTCGGCACCAGCTCAGCCATCCCTTGACGGGGGCACACCCAGACCCTTCAGTCCCCTCTCCACTGGTCCCAGCTGGTCCACATGACTTGGGAATGCTCCTCTGCCAAAAAGTCAAGAAATCCCAGAAGGGTTTGGGTTGGAGGGGACTTTAAGGCCATCCCATTCCAACCCCGTGCCATTGGCCAGGACACCTTCCACTAGACCAGGTTGCTCCAAGCCCCATCCAGCCTGGCCTGAAACACTTCAGGGAAATGAGCACAGGATGAGAAAGGCTGAGAGGTTGGACAGAGCCTTAAAGATGCAGTCTTCCTCTGAAGATACAATGTCAAATAATGAGGATTTCAGAGCAGGTGGATTGAAACTGGATGGTTTTAAGGTCCCTCTCAGTCCAAACTCTTATGTGATTCCATGATTCTCTTTATCAACTCACCCTTCACTTTCTTTTGGGACCCTTCCGAATGCCTCCTGCAAAAGACTGTGGCTGGTCCAGGTGCTCATATGAAAGAGGAAAAGTTTTGTTTCTTCTCAGTCCTTCCCAAAAGAACTGAGCTTAGTGAATTTTACTTCCCTGTGGAATGGGAGCCCTCGCCTCACATATCAGGCTCCTGGAGAAAAACTTCCCAAAATGTGAATTAGGTGATAAAAGGGGAATGAGGAGAGCAAGGGCAGCCTCTGAGGTTGAAAATGAACAACTTGATGTGCAACATCCAGTGCCTTTGCTGGTAACTCTGGGGATATACAGATGAATGGTGATGCTAACACCAAGGACTGTCCCTTTTGGGCAGTGTTTGTCACATGGAGCAGAGGAAAAGCCTGTTTCCATCAGGTGCTGCTGTGCCTCTGGATAACCAGGAAACCAGGGACAGTGACTGTATCCCTTCTTTTCTCATCAGTTTTAAAAAAACTTACTTTGGGGTTTTTAAGATCCTTTTATGGTCTTAATTGTCTGGATGCCACATTTTTCTCAAGGTATCCAGCAGCCTGTGCCATCTCAGATACACCACATTCCTGCATCAGCTCCACAGGAGCAGGAAAAAACATAGGATTTTGTCATCAAATCTATTTTCCAGCTTCCTTCTCCCAGTCTCTTCCTTTTACTTTGGAGAAGTGGCTGTTGACACTGGCTTAATTCAGAATCTTTAAACTTCAGTCAGGCTGGGTAAAGGACAAAACACATCATCAACTGAACCTTCCAGAATAACATTTGAAAATGCCACAGCTTCCCTGCTCAATGAGGAGAGCATTGAATTTTAATTTCTGGGACAGTACAGCTGCAGCAGGAGAGGAGCTGGGGAGGGCACTTGGGCACAGCAGCTGCCCTCAATTGGGTTTCAAGGAGCTCCTGCCCATTTTCTGAGCTCTCAGTATGGAGATGCCATGGCAGGAAGTCACTAAAGTGCCTGGCAGGGAGATAAATGGGAAGATAAAGGGAAGGAGCAGATTCCCCAGTGGGCTCTGTATCTACCAGTGGCAGGAGCAGATATTACATGTGGGAAGTGGAATGCTGGTAGCAGTGCTGGCTCCTCTGCCTTTCCAGCTCTCCTCTGCCAAAACATTGGGACTTATTGGCATCCTTGCCCAAGAGACAGGGGTTGGAACTGGATCAGGTGATTCCAGAGCACCACTTTGGGCATTAGGGGGAACCTCCTCACTCCCTACGGCTGCCTGAACAGAGGATGCAGCCACGTGGGCATCAGTGTATCCTTCCAGGTGACAAGTGACAGGACAAGAGGAAACAGTCTCAATTTATGCCAGGAGAAGTTTAGGTTGGATATTGGGAAAATTTATTCCCCGGAAGTGTTGTCCAGCCATGGCACAGGCTGCCCTGAGCAGTGGTGGAGTTCATCCCTGGAGGGATTTAAAAGATGTGTGGATGTGGAACTTGGGAACACATTTAGTTGTGGGCTTGGCAGTGCTCGGGGAACACTTGGACTTAATGGTCTCAGAGGGCTTTTCCAACCTAAACTACCTCTTGAGTGGAGCCTGAGAACCCTTTCTGCCACTGCTGGTGAGGGGCAGCAATCTTCATCAAGGCTGCAAAGCTGAGACAGGGTCCCAGCACCCAGCATGGCCTGTGTCCCCTGCCCTGCCCTGCCTTGCCTGCCAGGATCCAATCCAGAGCACAGGAATCTCCTCCCTGTGAGCACCCTGGTGTCAAACAGCACGTGGAGGAAAATGGGGGTGGAATGGGGGAAGCTGTGGGAAGAACTGGGATGATGAAGACAAAGAGAAAGACAACACTGGGAGGAAGAAGGGTGACGCTGCAGCCAAGCATCCAGAGTGTCTGGGAGGCAGGATTTGAGAGCAGCCAGACCCTGGCTCCATCTGCAGTCAGCAGAGGGAAGTAGACTGCAGCCTGAGCAGTGCTGCAGGCACCCTGAGCAGGAGTTTGGTGCTTGCTGGAGAGACCACAAGCTCTTCCAGTTCTCACAGCCCCAGAGGGCCAGTCTGTTCTGTGTGTCAGGTCATTGGCTGCTCTGGAGCCCAACTGGGCACTTCAGCTTCCCAAAACCCCTGGAAGCAACTCGTGTGGGTACAGAGCAGGGAGCAGAGGCAGAGCCAGGACTCTTTGGCCATTCAAGGGAGCCACATCAGCACAGGATGTTCCCCTGGAGCACCACAGCACCCAGAACTGCTGTCCAAGTGCAGGGACACCACAGTGCCAAAGCAAACTGCTGGCACATGTGGAGGTCCCGGGTCTGTCCTGCAGTACCCCCCAGACCCTTCCTTGCCCTCAGCTCCAGCTCACCCAGACAGAGATGAGGCCACTGTCCCACTGTCCCTACTGACCCCCTCTCCACCTCTCTTGCAGAGGATGTCCAGATGACTGACAAGATCACCATTTCCAAGCAGTTCAAGGAAAAGGTTATTCGCCCCATCTTGAAGGTATGGACAGTGTGTTCATGGCTCAAGTTTCAGGTGTCCTGAGCTTTGGTCCCAGACTCCTTCCCTGTATTTCTCTACCAGCTTTGAGAGAAGGGATGTAACCCCACTAAAATGTTGGAGAGGTCAGAGCCCAGCAGAAATAAATCACAGCTTCTTTACTCTTGGAGTGGAGCCACGGTGCATGGTGCAAAGGGGACTCAGGACAGGAAGTGCTGCAGTGATTTGGGGGTTCTCTGTTCTCCCAAGGTCAGGGAAACCTGACTGCAATGACATCCCCATGATTTTCAGTTTAAGATGTTTCTGATGCTGTCCAGCTCCATGGCGTGGGGGATGGATGGCTGTTGGGAGCTGTGGGAGGTGGGATGATCCCTGGGGAGCTCCCTCTGCAATGCCACTCTCCCTGCTGTTCCCATCAGGGTCCCATCCCTCTCCCTGCTGACCTCCTCCCTTGTTCTTGCAGGCTCACTTCAGACGGGACGAGTTCTTGGGGAGGATCAATGAAATTGTCTATTTTCTTCCTTTTTGCCACTCAGAGCTCATCCAGCTGGTCAACAAGGAGCTCAATTTTTGGGCCAAAAAGGTATAAAAACATCAGTGGCTTTAGAGGAAACTTCTCAGAATAACTCCAGAAGAAATCACTTCTGGAGCACCTGCCCTGGGGTCATCATACAAGCTGTTGAACTTGGGGTGCTGGGGAGAGCTGGGATCTCTGGAAGCAGCAGAGATGGTTCCTCTTGGACCGCAGCAGGGATGAGCTCCAGGCTGCCTTCATAGATGTCATTTGTCTAATTGGTCTTTGCACATCTGAGCTCTCTGAGGGCTAAAAGAGATTTTGGGGTTCCTTTGTTGTGGAAGAACTGGCCTGGTGAGCTCAGCCCTTCTCAGTCCCCCGGTGCAGCATCCTTGCTGCTCAAGGAGAAGGGTGCCAGGCTTGCTGAGAAACATCCATAATTCTTCTTCCTTTTCCTCCCTCCCCCCTGGCAGGCCAAGGCAAGGCACAACATCACCCTGCAGTGGGACAGGGAGGTCATGGACGTGCTGGCTGATGGCTACAACCTTCACTACGGTGCCCGCTCCATCAAACATGAGGTGAAAGCAAGACAGAGGTTGGGATGAAGTTCATGAAGTCACCTCCAGCCCCACTGCCCAGGGAAAACCAGAATTGGAAAGGCATCAAAAGAGAGATGGAGTCATGGAGCAAATCCAGAGGATGTCATGGAGATGCTATGAGGGCTGGAGCCCCTCTGCTCTGGAGAAAGCCTGGGAGAGCTGGGGGTGTTCATACTGAACAAGAGAAAGCTCTGTGGAGACTTTAGAGACCCTGCCAGTGCCTAAAAGGGCTCCAAGACAGCCGGAGAGGGACTTTGGACAAGGGCCTGGAGTAATAAATTAAGGGAGAATGGCTTTGAACTGCAAGAGGGCAGGGTTAGATGGGATATTGGGAAGAAATTCTTCCCTGTGAGGGTGGTGGGGCTCTGATACAAATTGCCCAGTGAAGCTGGGGGAGCCTCATCCCTGAAGTGTTCAAGGCCAGGTTGGACATGGCTTGGAGCAACCTGGTCTAGTGGAAGGTGCTGCTGCCCATGGCAGGGGGGTATGAGATGTTAACAAACTTTAAAAAGGCCTTTCCAACGCAAACCTTCCATGATTTCATGACTGTGGGGGTCTGACTGTCCTCATCTCTGGGGAGAAGTCTGTGGTCTTGTGGAGGAAGTGGCACACCCACACTCCAGAGACAGGAAGTAAGTGGGATGAAGAAAAGGTTGCATGATTTTGCACTGCCCGAGTGTGGGGAGGAGCTGGCCATCTCCATGGGAGACTGCACAGGGATTCCCTGACAGAATCTGTCTGTCCCTCAGGTGGAGCGGCGCGTGGTGAACCAGCTGGCAGCTGCCTACGAGCAGGACCTGCTGCCACGGGGCTGCACCCTCAGGATCATCGTGGAGGACTCGGACAAGCAGCTGCTGAAAACCACAGAGGGATCTTCCCCCAGCACAGAGAAATCCAAGGTGCCGACCCTGCGGCTGGAGATTGTGGAGAAGGACCGCAAGGCCCGGAAACTGGAGATCCAGGCGCCGCTGAACCCCAAAAACATCACTTACTTCTTGTGAGTGCTGGGCACTCCTAGTGACAATAAAACACCCCAGGAGCTGGAGCGAGCGGTGTCAGAGAGGGCAGAGCCACAGCCCTGCCACCGCTGGGCATGGACACGGACATGGATAGGGGCAGGAGCTGCCCTGGGATGGGCACGAAGGGCTCCAGGGGTGCAGCTGTGTGTGACAAGGGGCCCTGGTGCCATTCGGGGATGGGGCAGTGGATGGTCCTGGGGTTTCACAGGGTGGTGGAGGTTTTTAAGGAAGGGGGAAGCAAACTGCGGACCATGTGGGAACTTGGCATTCCCGTGGGAGGGGGCTTGCTGGGTCAGCTGGGCTGGCAAGGTGAGGAATGGGAACTGAGTGAGGATAAAAGCCACCAGGCACTTGCTCTGTACTTCCGTTTCTTTATGGCAATAAACATGCAATATGCATCCAACCCTTTGTGTCCCCAGAAGGAGCAGCTGTTGACATCACCCCCCTCATCCCAGGGCACTCCTGGGTCTCCTGCTCATCACCAGGAGCCAGGAATGTCACCAAGAGTGGGGAATACCACTGGGAGCTGGGACCCACTGTCACATCCCCCCAGCCCAGCCAGGTGACATCCTGGTGCAAACCCCTGGCTGAATCTTTTTCTCATGACCTTCTTCCAGAAAATATTTATTATCTCAAGTGGAACTGAGCTGTCCAGGTTGTCCCCATGTCCCATGGGGGCTCCTTCAGGGAGCTGCTCGTGGTGGAACAGGAGACATGGTCACTACTGGGGCCACCCCAGGGTTTTGAAGAGTAGAACATGAAATACATATGGAAATTGAACCCTCCCAGGATTAATGAGCCCCAAGCCACTGTCCTTGGGATGCAGATAGGATCCCCATCCCACTGTTACCCCCTACCCTGGTGTCCCCAGGAGGGTTTGGTTCTGGTGCTGGTTCCTGTCTTCCAGGGATACGACGGTTGGTGGGGGATTCCTTGAACCCCCTTCCTATCCCAGTAGTTTTTTCCTGGCTTAATGCCAGGGGCTGGAGCAGGATCCCATCCCTGGAGGGTTTGGGAGTGTCACCAGGCTCTGCTGGAGCCTCCTAAGGTCAGATTCAGTTCCAGAGGTGCACACAGGTGTGCAATGAGCTCTGCATGTGTGTGCATGGAAGCACAAAGGTGTAGCATGTACGTGTGCATGGGTGTGCACCTCTGGGCACGGCTGTTCTCTGGCTGTGCCCCCAGGTGTGCCCTGCCCTGCCGTGCTGTGGCACATCCTGTCACACCGTGCTGTGCCATCACACTGTGCCATGCCACATTGTGCCATGTCATGCTGTGCCAGCTCACAGTCTGTCATGCCAAGTCACATCACCCTATTCCATGCTGTCCCAGTACACACTGTGCCACCCTCCACCATGCCACATCCCACATGCCAAGCTGTGCCAGCCCCATGGATCATAGCCCCACATGGGCCCTCCACAGCCCTTTGAGGTGGTTTTCTTGGTGCCAATAGAGTAAATGGGCTTCCACTGCCAGGAAGAGTGCCTGGGAACACGGGATCTGGAAGAAGAATCTTCTTTGGCAGTGCCAGACACATTCAGTTCCCTGCATCTGAACCTCATGCACCCAATCCAGTCAGGGCACAGGGTGCCACTAGTGGAGGGGCTCAGGACACACTGGAGCACCCCAGCCTTGTCCCCAGGAACAGAGTGGCAGTGAACAGAGCCCTCCAGCACCGCTGGGAGCAGCTGTGGGGCTGGGGGACCCACCAGGACCTCCCAACACATCTGGGGGACTCCATGGGGCGATGAAGGCTGGAGAGTGTGGGTGGCAATGATGAGGTGGGTGCTGTCATCCCAACCGAGCTGGGGCTAGAGCTGGGGGAGTTTGGGGTGTGATCAGAGGGGATCTTGTAGAGGGGTCCCTTCAGAGAGGGTGCCATCGGCATGGGATCCATTGGAGGGGTTCCACCAGAGGGGGTCCACCCGTCAGAGGGGTCCCATTCAAGGAGTCCCATTGAAGGAGTCCCCCATCAGACAGGGGCCCCATCAGGACAGTCCCTTTGGAGCTGTTCTATCATAAGGGATCCCATTGGAGAGGGTCTCATCAGCCCCCCCAACCAGCTCTGGAGGGACCCTGACCCACCCAGGCACATGGACACATCTCCAGGCCCACGGGCAGCTCCCAGCACACAATGGGATGGAGGGATGGGGGTGCCTGTCCCCATCTCCACCACTGTGCTCGGCCCTCCTCGCTGCCAGTGCTGCCCCATCCGGGAGCAGGGGGCGTCAGCCTTTACCCAGCCCCCACTGGGCAGCACCGGGGACAGCCGTGCCACTGCCAGCACCCATGTCCCTTCATCCCCCACAGTCCGCAGGGATCACCCCCATCCCATGGGAGCCGCGGGCTCTACCCCCGGCTGCGCCCCATCCCACTCCCCTCCATGTTCCACTGCCTCTGCTCTCCCCCTACATCTCCCTCCTCCTCCTCCTCCTCGCCCTCCCGGCTCTGCCCGTCTCTGGGTAGCACCAGCAGCTCCTTGCGTGGCAGATTGCTGCCTAATTAGTTTAGAGGGAAAACTTAATTGAATTAACTTTTCACAGCTCCAGCAGCCCGACAGTGGGGCCTCGCTCCGCGCCAGCCCCACGCCCTGATCGAATTAACTTGTTTAGCAACCTGCCCGCTCCGGCCGCGCAGCTGGGGAGGGCGCGGGGGGGCACCGCCGGCACCCACCGGGGCCGGGGGCTCGGCCGGGGGAGCGGAGACGGAGATGGACAGCGGGGGAAGTGGGGGCTGTTCCCAGGGAACGGAATCCAGGAGGGAGCGGGACCCTTTGTGGCTTGAGATGTGGGGCAGAACGCAGGACGGGCATGGGCCAGGACAGACGGCAGGGCACGGGCCAGGAGACAGGGCGGGAGATGGGGCAAAACGTAGGGCACGACACAAGATCGGATATGGGGCAAAACACAGGGCAAGAGACAGAGCAGGATGCACGGCAGGAAATGGGGAAGGACACGGGTTAGGACAAGAGATGGGACAAGAATATAGGGGAGAAGGTGGGACAGGATGCGGGGCTGGATACAGGGCAGGACAGATTCGAAGCGATCCCACAGGACCCGGCCAGAGTCCGTTCTTCCCCCACCCCCCCGCTCCCCTGGGGGACCCAAAGCCCTTCATTGGGCACAATTAGACTTTTAAATCCTCTTTAGTGAAAGTGTTTGTCTTGAAAATGTCCCAAATCCCGCCAAATCCTCCCGCATCCCCCCTCCCCACACGCCCCTCCGGTGCCGCTGAAAGGGGCGAAAGCCTTTGCCTCGGTCCCGGCAGGGGGCTGGGGGGATGGGGTGCTTTGAAATTCATCCGGGCTGAAAACTGGGGAGGGGGATTGCAAAGGCCAGAGCCCCCCGAGGAGAGAGGGGTGGGACTGAGGACCCCTCCCGAGCCGCCTGCTCCCCCTGCACCCAGGGACGGCGGAGGGCACCCAGGGACAGGGCGTGGTGCCGTTGTTTGCCCTCCTGCCCCTGGGATGCTCAGCCCCAGAGGCATGGCATGGCATGGCATGGCATGGCATGGCATGGCATGGCATGGCATGGCATGGCATGGCATGGCATGGCATGGCATGGCATGGCATGGCATGGCATGGCATGGCATGGCGACAAGGAGGGACATGGGGATCAGGATGGAGACGCACACAGGATGGGATAGGGATGGGCACAGGGACAAGACCGAGGACCGGGATGGGATGGGATGGGATGGGATGGGATGGGATGGGGTGATGATGGGGACAGGATAGCGATGGCGTTGGGGACAGGGATGATACAGAAGGATGGGACACGGGGGGAAGGTCCAAGCGCTGGTCCCAGAGCAGGCCCGCGGGTGCTGCTCCGGGGGGTGCCCAGGGGCCGCTGTCCCCCCGCCCACCCCCAGCCCCAGCAGCGGCTGCCGGAGCCGGTCCGAGGCGGGGGGTGCGTGCGCCCACGAAGGGTTAAGGGGGGCGGGGGTCTGAGGGGAGGGGGGTGTCGGCTCCGCCCGCTCCCGCCGTCCCCGGGAGATATTGTCATGCAAAAGCCCCCGGCGAGCGCAGCCTTTGTCCGCGCTCCCCCCGCCGGTATATTAACGGGCCGGGGCGGCGGCGGTGGCGGGGGCGGGCGGGGGCCCGGCGGGCAGGAGGCGGCGGGGACGGGCGGGCGGCAGCCGGGGCCGCACCGGGCTCGCCATGGACTACTCCTACCTCAACTCCTACGAGTCCTGCGTGGCCGCCATGGAGGCGAGCTACGAGTTCAGCCCCTGCAGCCAGGCGGGCTCCTTCCAGTACAGCCCCATGCGGGGGGGCTTCGGGCCTGCGCCCGCCTGCGCCCCCCTCGCCTCCGCCAGCTGCGCCCTGGGCGCCCTCCGCGACCACCAGCCCTCGCCCTACTCGGCAGGTAAGGGACGGGGACCCCGACCCGCCGGGAGCCACCGGGGGCAGCCCCGGGACGGGCGTCAGGGAGCGGCCGCGCCGTCGGGGCTGGCCGGGATCGGAACTGGCGGGGGACCGGGGCCACCGGGGCTCGGGACCGGCGGCTGCCGGGGATGTCGGGGCTCGGTGCCATCGGTTGCCGGAGCCGTCGGTCTCCTGTACCGTCAGTGTTCGATGCCGTCGGTGCCCGGTGCTGCGGGCTCCCGGAGCCGCCGCTGCCCTGTGCTGTCAGAACTCGATGCCGACGGTGCCCATTACTGCCAGTTCCCGGTAGCGCCGGTGCCCGATCCCACCGATTCCCGGTCCCGTTGTTGTCCAGTACCGGCAGTGCTCGGTGCTGTCGGCGCCGATACCATCGGTTCCCGGTGCCGACAGTGCCCGTTCCCGCCCGTTCCCGGTGCCGCTGGTGCTCGGCACTGTCAGGATTCGTAACCATCGGTTCCCGCCACCGTTGGCGACCGATATCATCGGTTCCCAGTGACCCCAGTGCCCTACACCGTTAGTGCCCGATGCCGCCGGTCCCGGGAATTGTCTGTTCCCGGTGCCGCCGGTGCCCGTTCCTGCAAATTCCTGTTACTGTCGGGTTCTCGGTACCGCCAGTGCACGCTGCCGCTGGTGCTCGGTGCCGCCCGTCCCCGTTGCCGCCGGTGCTCGGCATTTCATGCCCGATGCCGTCGGTAGCGGCTGCTGTCGGTCCTTGGTGCCGTCAGTTCCCCCTGACATCGATTCCCGGTGCTGTGGATTCCCGGCACTAGTGGTGCTCGGTCCCACCGGTGCCCGGTGCTGCCGGTGCTCGAAGCCCGGGCTGGCCCTGCCCGGCTCGGTCCCTCCCGCCGCCCGTCCCGGGTCTCCCCGCTCGCCTCTGCCGCTGGGGATGAGCCCTCCCAAGCACGGCCGCGGATCCCCGGGGATCCCTGGAGCTGTGGCGGCCCCAGAACGGGGCTGGGGAAGGTCCTCGCCCCTGCAAACCCACTCCCCGCTCCGCATTCGTTGCCACCGCGGAG